CCCCCACATTATATTCAAAAAAAATAAGCACAGGAGTATCAAAAATGCATATGCGTGGTGATGTATATATATCTACGTACATACGTTCTTATGTAACAATTTGAGGCCGGCACGAAAAAATTTGCAAATCTTGTTTAATAAAATTTGCGGTTTTCCCTTGGCGGCACTCATTTCTTTCTAATTTAAATAGGAACCATGCAAATATTATATGATTGACTTATTTCTGACTGGTGAATGTAAGTGTAAGTATACACGTCTTGTTGGAGATTAATTCGTCATAAAATTTTATCGCTGACTGAGAATTTATTAAAACAGCTATAAATTTGATACAACACATTTTGACCTGACAGTCTTGGGGCCGTTGAGTTCACTACATGTTTGGATAGCCAATCTTAATTCTGATTAATTGAATGTTCTAGATCTGATCGGTGAAAATCTGTTCACGTTAAAAAGTAACGCTAAAAATTTTCTCCATATCAATTTGGAGATATAACGACTCAAAGGAAAAATGGCAATAAAATCAAACTTGTCATTTTGCGTGGTTTTCGTGAACATGTTGCTCGTACAGTTAAATCTCATATTGAAAATATAATTACTGGAATCATTGAAAATATAATTACTGGAATTATCGAGAATCGAAGACAAGAGGAGTTACGTTATGCTCATTTCCAATTGATGTTCATATATAGGATGATGGAACTGAAGTTGAAATTCGTAGCTTTCAAGAGAAAAAGTTATTAGAATGGTTAGTGATGAGGAGGTTTAAGTTAAACTTTCTTTGAATATTAAAGATAAAATTATCTTAATTTGGAAAAAGTTGCTCAATTTGCTGCAAATATTTAACGGTCTGTCACGTTGTGAAATAAGTATATTCGAAGGTTGTTGATGGTATCTATGTTAGTGAATCTGCACATTAGTTAAAGATTGTGAAGTTTGATTTAAAATAATGAGAATAGCCATTACAGTTTGATTAAAAAAAGAAATGTTCATCAATTCTAGAGTTTACCGAAGGAAATGGTGATAAAATTTCGTTAATAATCTGTAAACATTTGGAGTTTAATGAAGCAAAGGTGAATTATCCCAATGATATTCTTTTTTTTTTTTTTTATGACTATGAATAACTATAAACAAAATTCCATACGCGACAATTCCAGTGCAAATACCAATATTGGTGTCTCCAGCCTAGTGAATATATAAAATAACACGCAAATGTATATTTACTAACATCTTACTTATTTTTTAATCCAACTTTAATTTTTTCATATCACTCCATACATTCACTTATTTAATTTTTTATATCACTCTATATTTTACTTAATTCTATTTTTACAATGATGTACCTATTTAAACTCACTGGAGAGAAGCTAAATGGACTAAATGGATTCCAAATCGTAGAGATGGTGTTCTTAACAATATTTAGAGTTTATCGACAAAAAAAACATGAACACTGAATTTTTCTTTTTAATAAAATTTTCACGACTATAGGCTAAAAAGACAGTGGGCCAATAAAGTCTTAATACATTTTTGAGACTCCTGTGCTTATTTTTTTTGAATATAATGTGGGGG